GGGGGGGGGGGGGGGGGGGGGGGGGGGGGGGGGGGGGGGGGAGGGAGAAACAGAGAGAGAGAAACAGAGACAGACAGAGAGGGATAAAAGAGAAACATGGCTGTAACAAAGTAATAGCCCAAGGATTTTTTTTTTTTACAAAATAACTAATTTCCTATAATTCTATTCCTTTCTCCGGAATAAATATTTCAGGCATTCATTGTAATATTTGTTCTACATGGGGGTGGGGGGGTGGGGAAAGGAGGTGCTAATTATGGTCCTGGTTATTAGAGTAAATGGATTACAGATGGATGAGTGGGGAAGAAGCAGGATTTTTTTAAATAAAAAGAACAAGATCAAACTCAAAGACTGGACTATTAAGAGAGAGCTATCATCAAGCTCAACAGAATCCCAATATTTGGGTAGCTCCAGATAAAGTTTTAAGGTTTTAATGGATTTGTATGCCGCCCAATCCCGAAGGACTCCGGGTAGATAGCTAGGCTTCAACACCAAAAATCTTCAAACTCGCATTTGCTTTGCTGAGAATGATGAAACTTGAAATTCACATATCAAGAGGGCATATGGTGAGGGAAGACTGTACTTGTACAGAGACAAAAAAATGGAAAGGGATGGAAAAGAGCAGGGTCAGGCAACCTTCATATACTTTTCATTACATTAGCTACAATGCCTTCCCATTAACCACTAATGAGAATCCAAAACATCTGGAGAACAGCAAAAGGATAACATTCTAGAAGGAAGACTAACAAAATGTCAAGATTTAGTCTAAGTTTCCTTTTTCTGTTCTGAGAAATAGTGATAGAATAACAGAATAACAGTTGGAAAGGACCTTGGAGGTCTTCTAGTCCAACTCCCTGCTCAAGAAGGAGATCCTACCATGTCAGACTAATAGCCGTTCAATCTTTTTGTTAAAACCTCCAGTGGTGGAGTACCCACAAATTCTGAAGGCAAACTATTCCACTGATTAATTGTTCTCAGTGTCAGGAAATTTCTCCTTAGTTCTAGGTTGGATCTCTCTTTGACAAGTTTCCATTTATTGCTTCTTGTCCTGCCTTCAGGTTCTTTGAAGAATAGATTGACTCTCTCTTCTTTGTGGCAGCCTCTTAAGATATTGGAAGACATGCCACCCCTAATCTTTCTCTTCAATGGACTGGACATATCCAGCTCATGCAACAATTCTTCATAAATTCACATTCTAAATGCAACATTCTGTTAAGGATGCAGGTTGAACTGCAACATTGTAATACTGTATATTAATATTGTTCATTTTTAGTTATTTACCAAAAATGCCAGAATGAAAAACTAGAATGTAAATAAAGCAATGCAGCATAATTACTGCTCTGGGCATTTAATACTCTATGACATTCAATTCAGAGTGCCTTACGGTTGTGAGATAAGCTATCAATATTTCAAAGCAATCAAATGAACAAGTCAGAGCAGTTTAGTATGAGACACAGAAGTTCTCTTTCTAAAAGGTTTCTTTTTTCTCTCCAATGAGAGAAAAAGAGCTAAAACTAAGCATACAGAAATGAAATATTATCTCATTTAAGCAAAAAGAAAAGGGAAATATACTATTCTTGATATACTTGAAATATACTTGGAAATATACTTGGAACACTGCATCAACTTTTGGTCACCACAATATAAAAAAGATGTTAAGACTCTGGAAAGAGTGCAGAGAAGAGCAACAACATTGGTTAAGAAGTTGGAGGCTAAAATATATATGGAACGGTTGCAGGAATTTGATATGTCTAGTGAAAAGAAGGACTAGAGGTGACATGATAGCAGTGTTCCAATATTTGAGGGGCTGCCACAAAGAAGAAGAGGTCAATCTATTGTACATAAAGCACCAGAAGGCAAGACAAGAAGCAGTGGTTGGAAATTAATCAAGGAGAGAAGCAATCTAGAACGAAGGAGAAATTTCCTGACAGTGAGAACAATAAACCAATGGAACTTGCCTTCAGAGGTTGTGAGTGCTTCATCATTGGAGGCTTTTAAAAACGAACTGGACAGATATTTGTCTAAAATGGTATAGGGCCGTGATGGCGAACATATGGCACACGTGTCACAGGTGGCACACAGAGTCCTCTCTGCGGGCACATGAGCCATCACCCTAGCTCAGCTCCACCGCGCATATGTGTGCGCCACCTGCCGGCCAGCTGATTTTCAGGTCTCTGCCATGCCTGCAGGAGACCATTTTTGGTCCCAGGAGGCTGCAGGGAGACCTTCTAGGCCCAAAACAGGGCATGAGGGGGCATGCGCACATGGGGGGGGCAGGGCACATGAGGGGGTCACACGCACATTGCATTATGGGTGTAGGCATACACACATGCACACATGCGCTTTTGGCACGCAATGACAAAAAGGTTAGCCATAGCTAGTATAGGGTCTCCTGCTTGAGCAGGTGGTTGGACTAAAAGATCTCCAAGGCCCCTTCCAACTCTGTTATTCTATTATTTAGTAAAATGGTTTGCTGGAAGTGGCTTTTATCATCTTAACATACAAACATACAAAACTCATTTCTACTTCATAGCAATCCTACCATATTTTTTGGAGTATAAGACTCACCTTTTTCCCGCAAGAAAGAGGGTGAAAATCTGGGTGCGTCTTATACACTGAATACAGCATCTTTTGCCTCCCGAAACCCTGCCCCCATCACCAAAATGGCAGTGCAAAGCCTTTAGAATTCAGGGTGCTCCTGGGGGCTGGGGAGGGCAGAAATGAGTGAAAATGGGCCATTTTTTGCTCAATTTCCCCTCCCAGCCCCCAGGAGCACTCTATATGCCTCCCAAAGGCTATGCATGCCCTTTTTTGACAAAAAGCGGGCCCGTTTTTGCCAAAAAATGGGCTGTTTTTTGCTCAATTTTGCCCCCACCCCACCCCTCAGGAGCACAAGCCTCCTTAAAGCTATTCATGCCCCCCCTTTTTTTTTTGAAAAAAAAAAACCAGACCTGTTTGGGGAGGTCTGCAGAGTGCAAAAACTTTTTTTTTAATTTGCCTCTTCAAAATCTTGGTGCATACTCCGGTGCTTCTTATACTCCAAAAAATAGGGTAGATTTCAAACTTTTCCCAATCTGGTGCCCTCCAGATGTATCCTCCAAGAGTTTCTTATTTCTCATTGCAGAAATGTTCTTTTTTCCCTCTGATAATCAGTTATGAAAAGATGCACAAAACTGCCAAAAATAACCCAGATATCTGCTGTAACAAAAAATTAAAACTCATTATTTTCCTTAAAAAAAAATTAAGCTTTTCTCCCCCTCCCTCAGCATGGCAGCTTTGAAGCTTATATCACAAAAGAAACTCACTAACAGTGCTAATTCCCGTTCATAAACAACAAGTTTTCTTTGAAACTGGGTTCTTTAAAAAAAAAAAAAGACTATTGTAAAATCAAACAGAAGGAAATGAACCCTTAGCTAAAGAGAGTGAGAACCCCCTGGGATAAAGGTGCCAATTCATTTCTAATCAATTTTTGATTTAATTTTGAATTGCAAATTAAAAAATATATTTGTAATAGTGCCATTGAATAAAATGGAAATAAAAAGTAAAGCTATCAAGAATAAAATGGAGCCAATCCATTGTCATGGAGAGCAGGGATCTGCATTATATCCACAAAGTTGGCATGCACGGCCTAAAAAATCACCATACCAGAGGCAAAATCACTTCAAAGAACAGGGGCAGGGCCCTCATCTGACAGAACCTGTTACTTTAGATCAGGGGTCACCAACCTTTCAGACCACAGGGACCACTAAATTCAAATTTTTAAACCCCCACGGACCACTAATATGAATTTTCTAAAAAGATAGATAGTATTTTGTGCAATATAAAAAATGCAAATAATTTTACTGTGGACCACCAAAAAAATTTCATGGACCACTGGTTGTTGACCAGTGACCAGATCACTTTGGACACACTTGCCAAAGAAAGCTGTCCTCAGGTAAGACGCCAAGGGTCCAGTCACAACTCATTTCCAACAATCCAGCAAAACAAATCCACTTTATCTGGGGGAGGTTCCTCCACCTTCAGCAACGTGGCACACATGATTCATCATCTGATAATCCCTTTGCAAGAAAGCAGCATTTTGGAACTTTTCCATCTCATCACTCTACTACTTTAAACAAAGTTATCTCTGTAAGGTAGGTGAAATTAACTGAGCAGGAAGAGAATGACTGCAACAGAAAAAATAGGTTCTGTCCAAACTATTTATATATGCACTGTTGGCTCATAATTCATGTCCTTATCCCATTATCCTCTCTTTATCTGTGAAGTCAGACAGATTTCCCCCTGAACAATTGGGCATAATAAGAGTTAGCAGCTACTCAGAAATAAGCCCCGTCTCGACTTTAGGGAGAGACGCTCTGTGTAAAATAAGACATCGGAGCAAAAGAGAATGGACCAAGTCGAGTCGGGCAGCTTCTCCTTCTCCTTATTACGAAGTCTGCCAATCTGCAAGGCGAAGTTTTAGCTGAACGCGGGAAGGCAACGCGCTCCGGGCCGTGAGAGAAACTTCTCCACTCCGCGTTCGGCCACCGCGCTTCCCAGCGGCATGGGGCGAGCGGCAAAGGAAGATCCCGAAGGACGGAGCGAGCGAGCGAGCGGCTTTTTGAGAGGAGAGAGGCAGGCAGGGCCCGAAAGAGACAGGAACAGGAAACAGGGTGGAGGAAGAAAAGTGGGGACTGAAGCAACGAGGGGCGATGGGGCAACGGGTTAAAGGAGATTTTGAGAAGTGAAAGGCAAAGGCGGGCGCGCGAAACTGCGGGGAAACCGCGGGGCGAAGCGAAAGCCGGGGAGGGAGAGAAGCGGGCGCGCCCTCGGTCGGGCAAGGAAGAGCTCGCGGAGATCCGCACTTACACAGCAACGGGGAAGGGTCGGGACAATCCACGGCGGGCTTGGAGACATTGGCCGAGAGGAGTGCCTCCGTCACCCGACGGCCGAAGGTTTGGCTGCGAGGAGGCGGCTCCGGGGTCCGCTGGTAACCGAGCGTGTTGCCCCTCAGGTAGTAGAAGAGCACAGCCGAGAGGTGGAGGGCACAGAAGACCACAAGCAGGCGGCAAGCCTTCTGCAGCGAAGCGCCGGGCAGATCCATCCTGAGCGAACTTCACTGAGCTAAGTCGGGCACGCGGGGACGCCTCATGGCTGCGACCTGGAGCAGCAGGCCGGAGCGGCAGCGAAACCGCTAACAGCGCTCTGCCGCTCGCCTGCCAGCTGCTGCAACCCACTCGCCAAGGGAAGGAGGAAAGTCGTAATGTCAGGCTGAGGCTCCTCCTCCTCCTCCCCCTCTATAGCTGCTACTGTTGCGGCCCCTCCTCCTGGGGAGAAGGTTGCACCAAGTCGAGTCCCGCTTAACCCCGCCGAGCTTCAGACGAGGAGCCGCGTCTTCGACGTTCGTGGCTCTGAGCGGAAGAGGCTTAACAGGGCCCCAGCTGGAACTTTGGCTATCACGAGTTTGGGCTCGTGTCGCAATTTGGCGCCGGAACGCACGCATCCTCGGCGTCCGCCAGTTTTGTTGGCTGCCTGTAGTATCAACTGGTGGTTCGCGGGAGCGAGAGAGAGAGTTCGGTCTACAACCAGGGTGACTGAAGTTTGGTGTTTAATCAAAACGAGCCAAAATGTACTTCGTTAGGGGTTTAACCCAAATAAATCATATTAGCTAGGTGTAGATAGTGTCGGTTTTAGGACCCAGTAGGCCAGTGGTGGGTTTCAATTTTTTTTAGAACTTCTGTAGGTGTGGCCTGCTTTGTGGGAGTGGCTTGCCGGCCATGTGGCTGGGTGGGCATGGCCAACTTGTGAAATGTGGTGAAACTCACTTAACAACTCTCTTGCTTAGCAACCAAAATGTTGGCTCAGAAACTTTAGCATTTGAAGCAGGCAAGTCTTAAAGCTGTCAAGTTACAAGACCCTTGCACCCCTAACCCTTTAGAACCCCCCCCCCGGGTGTTCAAACTTGACAGCTTTAAGACTTGTGGACTTCAATTCCCAGAATTCCTCCTCCAGTCATGGTGGCTCAGGAACTCTGGCATTGAAGCACGCAAGTCTTAAAGCTGTCAAGTTACAAGACCCTTGCACCCCTAACCCTTTAGAAAAAACCCCCAGGGGTGTTCAAACTTGACAATTTTAAGACTTTAAGGTTTAGATAGGACTCTTAAAGGCGGGCGGGGCGATTGGTGAGTCAGCCAATCAGTGAGCGGCAGGCGGGGAAAGAATGGGGCAGACGGGTGGGGGGAGGGAGCTGGAACCGGTTCTAAATGGCACAGTAGATTTTTTGGAACCTCTTCTATAGAAGAGGTTAGAACTGGCAGGAACCCACCCCTGCCATGGGCTGGCTTAATACAACACACTACACTACTAGCCCAACAAACCACATTTTGGCTTTGTGGAGTGTGAGCTATTGGAGAAGCCACCATGAACTCGGTGGGATTTACTTCTGAGTGATAAAGGCAGAAGCTTGCTGCTAATATAGTTTAGTTTCGCAACTGCCGACTGTGTTGAGGATGTCCTATATTAAGTCTTGTCCCTGGTAGAAAAAATATCTTCATGTAATAAACTTGGGCTTTACAGCATGGAACTTTTCAAATTCAGAAGTGCCACTTCTCATATTTTTACAATTTTTTTATCCCGCGTTCATTATTTTTATAAAAAACATAATTTTATGTATGTTTCTGCACCACTCACTAAATGCAGCCTGCCACACCTGTGAAACAGGCTTGTAGAACATGACTAATGTTGTCTTCTGTTCATCTCCTTCCCATCCTGAATGTAGCTTTTGTTCTCCTTAGTAGGAGGTGGTGTGGGTTGGTTGTTTGCTTACTTTTAGTTCTGTTGCACAAGGTGTGGCATTTCACCCATCTGCAAGGCTTCATTCAATGTGAGGTACCGGTATATGTCTTGGCTCTTACTAATTGCCCTTTCCCTGTTGATAATGCTCTCTTGCCATTAGTCTTGAGCTATCAAGATGTTTGTGTCTCTTCCGGGAAGCTTTCCACATGAAGCATGAGCTGAGTTTTGTTTTGCCCAGGCATTAACATGGGCTCTTTCTATATCCGAAAACATTGATACCCCAGTTGATACCGTGCCCCCAAAAACCCAAGCCACCAGTACACTATCACAAAATGAAATGTGCATAGATCATTCTGAGGGGAGAAAGCTTATTCAAACAAGATTTTGGTATTCTTCATTCCCATGTTGGAAACTGCAGTATGACAACTATGCCATTTGGTGAGAGAACTACCGTATCCATACTTGCGCACAGGTTCCAACTCAAGACTTCCCAGATTCTACATGCTTGAATGCCATTATGCATTTTGAATACATGAGTACAGATTTCTCAATTTCAGGTGCTGGGGGACAACCATAAATCATCTCTAAGATATATCTACAGCAAAGTATCAATTGCTTGGATGTTATCCATTTACGTTTAGTCCACATTCAATTTCAGCACCTCTTCTTTCTTGACCCCTATCTCTTCTTGTAGCACAATATTTCAGAAGTACCTGATTTCCATTGTACTCTGTGTTGATATTTTTCCTGAGTTATGCAACTCTTACTTCCAGGTAACAAAGTGGATAAAAGCATGATATTCTGTTCATCCCATTCCCTTTATCTTGACAAACATTTGTTCTTGGAACAGACCACTACCTTCCGACTAGTATTTATACATTTTAAAATCTCTTTCTGTTTTCCTTTTTTGGTAAACATTTTACCAAATTCAATTATAGGTACTCCTTGACTTATGACCAAAATATATGTTGCTAAGTGAAACATTTGTTAAATGAATTTTGCCCCATTTTACAACCTTTCTTGACATAGTTGCTGAGTGAATCACTGCAGTTGTTAAGTTGTTAACACAGTTGTTAAGTGAATCTGGCTTTCCCATTGACCTTGCTTGTAAAAATGGTTGCAGGTGATCACAGGACCCCAAGACACTGTAACTGTCATAAATATGAATCAGTTGCCAAGCATTCAAATTTTGATCATATGGCTAAGGGGATGCTGCAATGGTCGTAAGTGTGAAAAATGGTCACATAAGTTGGTTTTTTCAGTGTCATTGTAATTTTGAATGGTCACTAAATGACCATCAAGATCTACCTGTACTTGCTTTAGTTTTTTTGTCATTTATATATGTCATTTCATCCATTTGTTCCACTTTTCATGACAAACAGAGCCAACATGTTCCCTAATTCATTTTCAGAGCTATCCTGCCTGTTGCATCATAAAATCACTGTCCTTAACAACACAGTTTCCTTTGGTTTATAATTTACATACTTTCACTTCCTCATCCAGCTAAGCTCTACCTTCACCGGAAACCTTCCTTATACATTGACCCATAAATGGTTAAACAACTAAGGGGATATCATAACCTCCTTGTCCTATTTCCTGTTTAGCTTTGAATTGTTCATATTAAGTCTTGCAACTGCTTAATTCAATTATATACTGCTGTTAGCATATTCAGCCACCAAATATCAAATCCATATTTGCATAAGACATTCTGTCATTCAAGCCAATTAATTTAGCAGTTGCTCACACTTCACCAAGCAAAGGTCAATAGCCTTTCTCACATTTATGTTCTTTGCAGTGCTTTGCTACAGAATAAAAATCTAGCCTATATTCCCTGTTCCTGTCTAAGGATAAAATCTGCCTTTCCAAAATTCATCATTACCTTTCATACCTTGACAGTCAGAATTCTGCCGAACACCTTCTCAGGCACATGTAGTACAGTAAAAAATTCTCCTATAGTTCAGCAGCCCCCCCCCCAGCTTTTAGGGACCAGGGACCCGTTCCATGGAGAGAGGTTTTTCCCGTGGACCAGAGGGGGTGTGGGTTTTGCATGCTGACTATATACTGTGGTTGGGGCTTCGCTTGTTTACATGAACCAGTTGCTGGCATGCTGCACACTAGTGCTGGTAAATGGACCAGGATTGGGGACCCCTACTACAGTTTGCTACACCTTCAGCTTTCATTTGGGGATCAGTGACAGAGATGGTATTCAACAGGTTCTGACCAGTTCTGGAGAACCAGTAGTGGAAATTTTGAGTAGTTCGGAGAACCAGTAAATGCCACCTCTGACTGGCCCTGCCCCCATCTATTCTCTGCCTTCCGACTCTCAGCTGGTCAGGAGGAAATGGGGATTTTGCAGTAACCTTTGTAGTAAACATTTTTGAATCCCACCATTGATCAGTGACTGCTTCTTTTCTAATTGTCAGGCATCAATGCAGTCTTCACATACGCCATGCAAATCCCACAGTCGACTTTCATTTATATTTTTTGGTTTTGGTGTTTTGGAGACTAACATCTAGTGCACTTGTTTTAGTATTACTCCTTAATCTATCACAATGATTTCTGTGCAAATCTCTAAACTACTTCTTCCATCACTCTCTCACTTCAATTTTCATTTTTTTATTTTTTATTCCAGGCATACTTCTGGATGCTTCTTATTTAGTCTTGACACACTTCCAGACTTTTTTTTTATTTCCATCAAAATCACTCTGTCTCTTCCCTGCCTGCTGAAGGCATTGTTAAGCTTTGTTTGATTCCTCTGCATATGTTGTTTGTGAATATATTCTGATCTTTCTCTGAAGCTCATTTTTCACAGCATTCTTTCCTTTACATATATTTTTCCACTAAAATGGCACATTGTATTAAGGCAAATGATCAAAACATTAATACGCTATAAGTATCTCTATGGGGTTTTTGTGCTGTCTGAGCTCGGTGGTTTTCTTGCAGATGTTTCGTTACCAAACTAGGTAACTCATACATTGAGCACTGGTTTTGTTACATAGTTTGGTAATTAAATACAAGAAACCCACTAAGTCTACAAGAAAACCGCCCTGAGTCTCTTTGAGAGTGGGCGGCATACAAATTAAATCAATCAATCAATCAAAACCATTAAGCTCAGATAGCACCAATAACCCCCTAGTTCAACTCTGAGCTCTCTTCTATAAGTGTCTCTATTGTTGCTGTAAATTTGGGGGGGGGGATTTCTAGGTCTACAGTCAGCTCAGAACTCTGGGAACTGAGGTCCAATACTTGTGGAATGCCCTGATGAAAAAGGTAGAGCTTTCATGGCAACTTCTTCTAGGGGCATCTGTACCTGCACAATGGGTGATCACATAAAGAGCCTTTATTTGGAAGCAAGAATTATTACTTCATCTTTTGGGAACATGTTTTAAATCCTAAGGTTTAAAGGTTAGGGAAAAGTACAAGGTGGAAATTAGTGCCTTAAGTTACTGTACCCATTTGCCCCTTACTCTCATCAAAACCTGAGCCCAAAATTTCTAGCATGAATCAGAATACAGCTGGAAGGGATCTTGGAGGTCTTCTAGTCCAGTCCCCTGCTCAAGCAGGAGAGCTTATACCATTTCAGACAAGTGACTGTCCAGTCTCTCCTTAAAAAACTCAAGTGATGAAGCACCCACAACTTCTGAAGGCAACTTCTGTTCTACTGGTTAATTGTCCTCACTGTTAGGAAGTTTATCCTCAATTCCAGGTTGCTTCTCTCCTTGACTAGTTTCCATCCATTGTTTCTTGTC